GGACGATCCTGCTTGAATGGCGTGTTGAAGCGCACTCGAAACCGAGCCGAACAATTCACGCGTAATTCTCGTAACTGCGATATTCGCGTTTCGCTGCGATTTCCGTCTCGACGAGGTCGGATTTGGCTTCCCTGCTCGTTCCGAAGATCTCGCTTAAGGCTCTCAGCGTGATTTGAATCGCAGAATTCAATTCGTGTAAAATAATAAACTTCTATTCGACGTCTTTTTCTATTTCGTCCTTTTCTCGTATGAATTTTATTAGATAATTACCCGGCTTATTATATTATGTTATTATATCACTTCTCCAAATTTAACACATCTCGAGAAGAAAATAAAAGGGAGACGGCATAAGTTTAATGTTGATGTGTAATTCGCTCTAATATTAGCATGCATAGTGCATTATATTGTACACACCAAAAAAAAAAGGTATTTTTCGCTCAATGTCGTTTACGTTTTATATATTAAAAAACATTATTTTAAAACATTAAAAATTTGTATTATAAGATTAATTTATATAATATAATTCTATAATTAATTGTGATAATAGAAAAATATAGGAAAGGAAGGATTACAATCCACGTTGGTTTGCGATGGTAATGCCATCTCAACCCGGGTACACCCGGTGTATGTCGCATTAAGCGCTGCGCGACATCGCACCGGACTAATTGGAAGCGGTTAATGAGGTGACGCATTTTTATTGTTCTTCCGGCTTGTTAAGCGACCTGTTTGCTTCCGTAACACGTACGCCGGGAGCCCCGGGAAGGCGCAGGGATAGCTGGGAATCCCGCGGATATCCTGAAATTGTCCCGCGCGAATACCTCGCGCGAATCCCGGAAACGCTAGTGGAATATTTTTCGCGGCTTTGCCGAGCCGGTGGATTATCGACATCGGCGCTACACATGTGCGTTTATTCACACACGCGTCTTCGTTTAAATAAACCTGTCCGAGTGAATTTATAATTAAATCAGCTTAATAAATAGAAATAAATGGGCAAAAAGACGATGGCGTTATACACGGACATGCTCCAGCGAAATGATACGTATAGCTCATCAAATATTATCTTACACAAGAAATGAATTAACTCTTTCTCTCTCGCAGTAACACTTTCGCGTAAATTAAGTTGCAAAGAGCTAAATCGTCGAAAATCAACACGTAGGGATTATTTTTCAAATATATATTTTCTCAAAATATAACAGATGTGTCACGTCTGTGATTGATTTTGTTCTAAAATGTTCATATCTTTTTCGTAAAAATCAATATAAATAGATTGATGATAGATTTGTACACCGTTTTATAAGTTTTTAACTGGAAATTTCAAGCCATTTTTTTAAATAATAATTTTAAATAATAAATTTATTTAATATTTTATATTGGAAAAGTGTGTTTAAAAAATGTTAAATAATATGCACGACTTTATTCCAATATGTAGTTTAAAATACAAGGCAATGTCTAACAATGCAAAATATTCAAAAAATTTAAAAATATGTATTTTAATAATAAACAATAAACACGAATGCAAATACACAAAATATTTATCAAGACAGTTAAAATATTACAAAAATCAAAATGACATTCTAGTTAACGAACATTGAACGTGAGGGTTGATTGGTTTTTACTTTAAAATAAATGACCTGTTTGTTAAAAATGAATTGATATTTTCATCTCCGAATGCAATTTTGAATGTTGCTTCAATTACTCTTTTAATTCGGAGTTTTAACTTTCCGCACTGTGCTTGTGTATAATTTATTTCGTCTAGTTTCGATTCATTGCGTCAACTTATTTTTGCATAATGCTATTTGTTTATTATTTGCTTTATTTTGTCATAACGTCGTAACGTCGTTATAAAAATTGGTCATAAATATCTTATTATGTCTCATTATCTCTCCACTTAAACAGGATATCCAACAAAACAGTAATACGGTATGTTGAAAACGGTAATACGAATCTCCGGGGAGAATTGAGATCTGATTGCTGGAATATTTCGTGTTGGTAATCAAAGATTTGTGAAACAAGATGTGTAATTAAATTGGCACTAAAAAAAAAGAGCGAGAAAACCGTGCACGAGTCAGCATTCGTTAGTTGTGTGTACGCAACGAGAAGATACGCAAAGCTTGATGGTGCCTCGTACTACTTTTCCATAAGCTACGTTATTTACGGAAAAAGGTATTCTCAATGCATCGTGACTTTAAAAAAAACGACACAACTTGAAACAAATATTTTCCAACGTGATTAATGTTTGTCACAACGTCAAAATATCTAAATTTTCATTTTTAAAAGTGAAATTATTATCACTCTTGTAATTTTGCCGATGCACTTTAATAGATGAAATTTAAACATTCTGAAATTACATTAATCGAGAAAAAATTGGTTTTTAAATTGTCATTTTACACAAAAAGATAGTAATTGCGTATAACAAAAAACAATGGATACAATGATAATAGATAATGTAATACGAATGAATCTCAAATGCATTCCGCAATACATTTTTAGTCTCCTTTTTTTTCGTTAAAAGTGGTTTTTGACGCATGATATTTGGCGACAAGGCCTCGCGTAACCCGGATTTCTGGTCAGGATGAGGACGCAGGAGATTGACGGCTGCATTAAAAGGACGACAAGCGAAGGACCTGGAAAATCCGCGTGCAGATATTACGCGACGTTCTCGAGATATCGTGTTTTTCTATCGTATTCCGCGAGACTTTGCGTTCCAAAAATTTGATTTGATCGTGAACGGGAATCTGTAAAATTTATTTTCGTATACGTGTACGTTTGATACGTACGATTCTATTAACACTAGAATTTTGATAAAATTTTTTATGATTGCAAGAATATATACATATTGAACACGAGAGAGAATCTCATATTCGTAAAATATATATTGTATTCAAAATGATTCAATGTTGCTATCAGTTGTTCTGATGTTTACCACTATCTTTTGATTAAACATCAACGAGGATTGATCTGACTTCTTTATCAAAGGCTACAAACCTTTGGTAGAATACAAAATCTTATGGATTCTTTATTTTCTCAAGAGCTTCCTTGATGTTAGATCATTTCGATGTGTAGATAGAGCTCGTGATGGTTAATTCATGGCAACATTCCACTCAATTTCTTGGACTTTGACGGTCCAATCCTGTTTACGAGAATGTCCTCAATTTTAGTTTGTACGTAATATTCTTTTATTTATTTCAAACAAAGATCTCCAGAGAATAAATTCGTTCTTTGATGGATTGCAAATAATAAAGCGGCAGTTAAATATCGTGTACTCGATTCATCTTCTCAACAAGTGAAAACTATAATGAATATCTAAAAGCAAAGTTATTGCAGCATCTCGATTAATTCTAATTTCAGCTGTATATGAAATCATTCAAGCTGTTCACCTTTGTTCTACATAAATGTACTATGCTTATGCAGCGTTTACTGTGCAAAACGAAGTTTAACTAATCTGTGAAACTGTTTCATGTTTAGTTTGTTATATCCAAAGTTTACCCTAAAATTAATTTCAAGATGACTGGATATTTCAGTTGTTCTTGAGTTTAGTTTAATATCAATTAAATACGTCTTCTCTTTAGTCAGCGAATTCTTGAAAACTGTCTTTTTTTCCCTTTCTATTTTCTTGAACATTACATATCTTTTTTAAACGATTTATTTTAAAGTTAATTTTGAACTAATACGAAATAGAACCAAATTTCTTTAATATCTTGACATTCGTATTATTTTTATCAAAATACCTTTTGATCATAATTTCTAAGATTCAACTTCAGCTGAAATTACTGAAGCGCTAAAAATGATCGAAAATTGAAGTCGATTAAATTGGTACACTCGAAAAATTTTCGAGATCTTCCTCTTTCACTTTCTTTGTCGGAGAGAAAAGAAAGAAAGAAGGCAGTGAGGAGCTGACAAAAGGAGAAAGGGGAAAAGATGCGACTTAGTCTGTGAAAAGGTATCGACGTTTGCCGGGACGCTATCTGTCGTGGATAATGCATCAGCTGCTACAAAATGTCTCTGCCGTTTCTTTCTTCTCGCGGCAAGTACTTCCTATGTCGAACATTGAGCTAGATTATTGGAAGTATAACTGCAATTAAATTCTTAACCAAGACATGAGAAGACACGAAATGAGACATACTTTTTAACGAGCTTGTTAGAATTTTTCTTAAAATCTGTCAAATAATAGTTTTCAAGCTTACATTTTTCAAAAATATTTTTAAGACATTTTTTAAATTAATTAAAGAATCTAGTAAATTGCAGTTTGATGGAATCTCAAGCATTTTATATTTTCGTGAATATAATTCGTGAATGTATTGCTGTTGTCTAACTCTTGACATCTTTCTGACAGCACGTCATGCTGTCGCATCACTCGTAGTTCTCGAATTCGTCCATCAAGATACAAACAATCGTGTGTCATACGTCCGTACACAATTTAACGCAATTACGGGGGTTTTTTTTTATTCTGCACGTATGCCTCGCGCAAGTTAGCCTCTGCAAACATGCGACCGCTCGTGAATTCGCGGTCACGTTCCGCGCGTAAAATACGCTCCCGGCGCTTTCGGGTTTATACGACGAGTTTAGGGTTCATCGGCATCTTAAGGCTAGGATAAAGCGGTCCTTTGAATGAAACTCCCCTCACTCGAAGATTTATGCGCGCCACGCTGAGAAAAATCGAGCAGCGGGGATGAGATGGTGCAACTACGTGCCAAAGAACACTAGGATCTACTTTGAGTAGATTGTCGACAAATTTTGTATGATGAGCGTTGAAGCTTCATACCGCAAGGTGTTACATACATAATGTTGTACATAATAAATTTATAGCGTATTAGTGCTTAGACAGCTTCTACTTCCTGCAGAAATATAATCTTCATACAACATATGCAAAGGTATGCGTACAATAAATTGCTTTCAATGAATAAAAATACGCGATATCCTGCTCGCTTCCATTATTAAAAACATATGATTAAAAATTTTATTCGAAATAAACTTTTACAAGTAAAAATTTTTTAACTCACCAGTCGTTGCCAGTCTTGGTGATATTTTGCCGCTTGCGTCCAGTCTGATGAGGTTTCGGCTCTGCTACCATGTTTACATCTACAAACGAAATAAAAGTATTGTTATTATATAAAAATCAAAACAGTAAAACATGTAAAATTGAAAGGATACGATTGATTAATGTATTTGACAATATCAAAAAATAGCTAGTATTATTAAGTAAAGAATGAAATGCTAAAATTGAATATACATTTTTCTTTTTTCTAGAGTTATATTTTTTATTTAGTAATAATTTCTAATAATATCACCGCATCTAAATCATTTTACATTAATTTTTTATTTTAAGTTCTAAAGTACAATTAGTGAATCGCAAACTCTATTAATATGATTCAATAACCAATTATATAATAAAATTAAAAATTTTCCATTTTAGATTTAAAACCTAGAAGATAGACTAAATCAATATCAATATTACTATTAAACTAATAAATGAAGTACGCGTTTGAAGAATAATATATTATTTAAATTTTGCGAGACATCGAGATTATTTCAGATCTACTAGTAATTTAATAAATGGAATATAATAGATTTTGATTTTATGTCTGAACGAAGAAGAATGATGTCAATCTATTTTGCAAACCTTTCTAAAGTACATATATAATAATCGTTTCCTTTACACATACTAAAATTTGTCAATTTTCCCGGATACGTTTTTATCACTTTTAAAATGAACCAGTCGCATAATAATCGACCGCCAAATGACGTGGATTGCGAAAATCGACTTGCAAACACGCTCAGCGTATCGCAGCACAAGCGCAAAGCGTTTTCATCGTTGCGCTGCACCGCTTTGCAGTCCCCCGACGGCTTACGCAGATTAATAAAACGAAGACGGCGACGAAGCGCGAAGTTTCCGCTCAGCGTTTCCGCAAACAGTTATTAATTTCGCTTCCTTTGAGCCGGCCCGTAGCGAGATTGATAATGAATGCGCCGCGACGTCGCCGGGCGATCAAGCGACAAGGATTTCTCATTCTTCTTGTTTTCGTCGGTAACTGAGCGGTCGCCGTATTCATCGTACAGAGTGATTCAAAAGTCGCGCAACAGGTGTGCAACGATATTGATCCGTGCGTTATTCTATAGCGACTTACGATCGCATATGTATTTTTCTGAATGTCGACAGCGCGATAAATTAGCAGATTATAAGTCATTGCTGTGCAGAATCATTAGACTTTAGAATTATAAGTAATTATACGCGCACTGCGATGAGCGTAATAAAAGCGAGCATGTCACAAGACAAAGTATAAAAATAAAATGTAATTAATTGTACAGCGCTGCGTATTATAAATGTCAAAGAATAAAGCCCGTGGCGTTTTTCCAGGATAGCGATATGTAGGATATTTCTAAAATCAATGTTAAGGATATATCAAGAAAGGAAGAAATAGCATGCTAGAAAGCGGAGATAATGGCCCTTGCCGCAGGCAGGAAGATGAAACGACAGAACCGATAAGGAAGGAAATATCAAGGGTGATGAAAAAGGAAAGATAAAATGGAGAGAAAGTAGAGAATGCAGGAAAAGCGATAGAGTAAAGAAAAACTAATATAAAAGAGGAGAAACAGTTCCAATTCGATGTAATTGTTCTTTTTACCTTGCAGCGAAATAGAATAAGTAGAAAAAGTGAAGATTGAGCAGACAAAAGCAAGAGAGAAGCAATTTTATTAAAATAAATTGATGCCCGTGTCAAAAATAGCATTAAAAAGAGAGAAAAATATACAAATATACTTTTTTATTAATTTTATTATTGAATTTAATGAATCAGAACTTAAAAATTAAACTGTCGAAAGGAATAAATTAATGTTAGAACGGACAACAAGTGCATTAAATCTTCGTGGAGGAAAAACGCGCGCGAAAGATCTTTTCCTTTGGAACACTCTCTATTTTATGAAAGTCAGAACTCGCAATCTCTGAGCGAAATTAAAATAATCATAAATTTAGAAACAAGCACACTTCTTCGCGTCACAAATCGCTTTATCCTGAAAACATTTTCCATCACGCCTGCTACCGCCGCAAGACGTTTGCTCGTATCCGTGTCGCTAACTTCCGGACGTTCTGCAAACCGTTGGGGTCCTGTAGCAACCCCCCTGTCCCCCCTCCCCTTTCACCGCTACCCGTTCACCATTCCAAGCCCTCGCAGGGGCTGGTTTGTGGATGTTCCTTGTTAGAGTAGCGGGCTGATTCCGTTGTGTGCGCAGCGGTGCGCTTCGTCCTTTGTGTGAGCTAACCAAACACCCCTCCCCCGCGCAACCGCCCCGTACCTTATCCTCATCCCCCTCATCCTTCTGCTTCTCCATTATCGCGGCTACTTGCGCAAATTGTTTACACGTCGGTCCGCGAGCATTTCATGAGGCCGTCCGAAAATTGATGATTTGGTAGATGTTTGTTGCACTTGGTGGGGGGGAAAGTAGAGGGGGGAGGGGGTTGATTTATTAGAGGGAGAGGCAAGCCGTGTTTCACGGAGCCACTGAAGACGCTGGATAAGACTGCTTCAAGAGCTAAAGCGAAGGTGATGTCGAAATATGTGTTCGCGAACGCGTTAAAGTTTGTGTAATAAAGCTATTATTTCTGCTCGGTTTTCTTTTAACTTATTGATAATTTTGTTTGCAATTTATTTTTTTCACAAATGACAATTGATTATCCAACTGAACTAATGTCGTACGTCTGAGAATCCATCGAGAGAGATGCAATCGGTTTTTCGCATGAAAGTATTGGATTGCTGCTTGTTCATAACGCAACAAAGCTGCAGTCGCTCGTCGCAGAATGCTGCAGACGACAAACGCTTTCGCGATTGTTTTTCTCGATTCGATTTCCCTGGATCGAAATGCGAGGATTGATTTATTGGTAATCCACTTCCCCGCTTAGCGGAAGAGAAAATCCGGGCGTCAAGGGGTTAAATGCAGCGCGGCGGAACGAAACTCCCGACATTCGCCACCGCGACGCAGCTAATCGTTGCGGGCGTCGGCGTCGCCGCGAAGTTTAGTCGATACGCGGGTGTACGCGGATGCAGTAACACGCGAGAGAGAGAGAGTGAGATAGAGAGAGAGAAAGAGCGAAAGGAAGAGGGGAGAAGAGAAAGAGAGAGAGAGAGAGAAAGAGAGAGAATACGGTGACAGAGAGCGAGCAGAGACACGGAGAGACAGGAGAGAGAGGAAGTCGAGTATCGATGTCATCTCCAGCACGCGGTTGAAGGGTGATTCCTATATTGCGTTGTGAATTGTTCCTCGAACTAACCGCTCAGCGATGAGCGAGTGCGAACGCGCGGAAGCGGGAGCGAGAACGAGAGCGCGAGCGGGCGCGGGCGAAGCCGAGCGGAGTCTGTAACAGGCAGCGACGCTAATGGAATATGACAACGCGAGGCGAATAATAATCGGCCGTTTCTCCGTCGCCGAACTTCGTAATAAAACGAGCATTGTCCATGACGTTTCGTCGCCGACAGCGTCGCGACGTCACGACGGACGTCGTCCCGCTGTTCGCGGATTTTTCAAGTGTTTTCGCGTGCACGGTCGCATTAACGATCTTACTCGGCAATAATTTATATTCCGCCTATTGTTTCTACAAGACTTTTTTTTAACAATTCGAGAAGTAGGTTTCTCTTTCATAAAAATTGTGTATCACCTTATTTTGTAATTTTTAACTGTGCTCAAAGCAGTTAAATAATAAATAATCCATTTTTCCAGAGATTTCACAAATTTCAGATATATTAATTATAAATCTTTAGTTTAAATTTGAATTTAGTTTGAAGCGGATTTTACTTTAACAGATATGCAACTTGAAAATCAATACTGCAAAGATCTAATATTGAAAATTTATAATTTGCGACAAAGATGATGGATATCTACGATATCTGTAAGGAAAAGCAAATTACATCACAGGAAGTCATGGAAAATTTATACGAAAATTATTGAATCAAAATTCATTCTCTGCGTTTCTGTTTTTACACATTCGAGAGAAAGAGAATTTATTTATATTATTTAATAATATATTAGAATCTATATATTTCTGTATTATACGCAAATATATGTAGTAATTGGTATCATATCATATGTACGATCTGTGTTATTTTATAACAATACACACATAATGAATTATATTATAATAATAATTTATAACTGTACTGTATTCCTAACTGCACTGTGTAGAATCAGCATCGAACATGAGGAAAATTAATCCTTTATTCAAACCGCTCAAGTGCATGCATAAATGCATTTAAATTAAAATATTCTATTTATTACATTTAAAGAACGCTAAAAATTTACATGTTGATGGAGGTTTTTTATAATGAAGGTATTTGTGAAGAAATGGCATCGCGTGTTATATCAACTTACAGGCAAAGTAATTAATGTATTAATTTAGTTTGTTATTATGACAACAATTATTCCATAACGTCAAGAATAATTGATAGGCTATGAAAATCGCTGATAATATGGCTTATTAATTTTATAACCGCGAGCCGTTAATCACAAGGGACGCCAAATTGTTAATTCATCAATTTATTTATGATCTTGCAGATCAAGTAATTAATATTGCACATGAGTTCAATCAGGCATATTTCGATATCCAATCGTATCGGAGCGATAATTTCATTATAGAATTTACACGAACTCGATAAATCTCATAAAATACCACGTAATCTAACGTATACGTATATTAATATACTCCTTAACACAATTTGATTATATTTGATTCTTGTTTCTAAGTTAATAACTTAATGAAACAATCAATAATTATTTTTACGAAATATGATATAAATATTGTATTATAGTTTCAATAATTTTTTAACTCTATAAGTAATAAATTTAATTTATTTGACTGCATAAATATGTAGATTGCTCAAACAAATTCCTTACCAAGATCAATATATTACTGAATTTAAAAAACTTGCCGAGTATTGATATTTTATATTGATATTCTTCTTATTCATAACAACGTCTTATTGTCACGCGACACTTTATTAATTTCATCTATTTAATTTACAAAAGGTTGCTCATTCACTTTCAATCACTTGTATCTTAAAAAGAAAACATTTGCAAATCCATATGTGTAAAAA